AGTGGTACACGAAAGAAGGAAGAACCATGAGAAACGGCCCAGAACCCGAGAAATGGGACCCCTTCCTTGCCCGTTGATTTGAGCATTGATGCGACTCTCATCGCTGTGCCCTCTTCAACACTACGCTCTCTCACCTATCTAATCACTCGCCACGTATAGAACTACGGCGAGTGATCAGATGATCGGTGGGCGTGCACTGCCGCGCCAAGATTGAGCCATAATAGGTCGCCGAGGTCAAATTTTTCCATGCGAATTGCGCGTCAGTTCGCACCCTCAGGAGGTCCGTGGGTCCCTCAACTAGGTCAGTTTCCCTTCCTTCGACCTTCATTCTAATCGTGAATTCCTCCTTTAAAAACTGGTGAAAAGGTGTGACACAAAACGGCCCCACTGTGATGTCACAACTTTTCCACCAGTTTTAATCAAGGGTTACTGACGGTCCTAATCATGAATATGGTACTAATTATTCATGCTAACTCCATTTTGCGCGAATTTTGAAACGTCAACTCGAAATGCAAAAATTTGTCACCACGAGGAATCGAACTAGGGACCCCTTTTCTGGTATTCAGAGGGCCGTTCAGGAAAAATGAACCATGGTTCTGTGGTTCCCACATGTGCCCCAATGTCATGCAAGAAACCATTTTGAAAAAGCTTGGCACACCCTGAACGACCTCCCTTGTGAGGAAAAGTGACAGGCCGGTGCCATGCCAGCTTTGCGAATACATGAGTTAACTAGCAACTGGGCGTTTCGTCAGCAATTCGAGAGGTACGAGCGATAGGCCAGTGACTACAGGAGTTGAACTCACGATTCGCTAGATTCGCAGTCTGACACCGGCCTGAGTGATGGCACCATCTTGCGATCTTGAATGTTTTTTAAGTAATAGAAAAAATCATACCAGGAGTAGTTGCGAATGAAGGTGTCTAGTGCCTTGAGACATAGCTGTCTGAATGCTCAGTTTCGATATAGTAAGCTTCCTGAGAATAAGAATAGCGATGTAGGCAGGAATAGGTAATAGGTTGATATAGGTGCATACGAGAAACGTCTTCCACTCGTAATAATTCAAGCTACCGCTGACGCACTCGTTGCTCGCATCAATGGAGAACTTCTTCCGAATTTCCTCTTTCAGTAGTGTTACATCGCTACCAGTGAGACAGTGCATAATCTGAATTCTTTCTCATAATGGCAATTCTAAGTGGACAAAACTCCCAACGTTGCCTCCCACCCACAGTGCAGGTTTTCCGAACTTAGTTCTTATTCATAGCAATTAAAATAAGTATAAGTTCATTACGTTTGCATAAGGCACACGTGAGGAATACTTAATACCATTATTGAATCATAATTGAACAAGAAACAACTACAAATCACCATTTTAGAATAGTTACAATAATGTCAAGGATATAGTATTATCTGAGTGTCATGTTATATTCGTCGGTTTGGAATTGAAATAATTGAATCAAATAGTGAGATTTGGCCAGGTCGCCGATAATCTGACTAGGTGGAGTTAACAGGCAGGTCCAGAGACTTGGCGCATGAGTGTGATCTTTATTTGTCTCGAGACCCCCGGTGACCTCAATCATGCCTCAGTATTCGCTATTGACGCTTTTAACGGAGTTACCAAGCTCTTCGCACTGTTGTTGCTTGGGAGTGGCTCCCCCCGTGATATTACTGTATCGGCTAACCATTTAGGGGTTCTGTAATGTGCCTTCGCCTTTGACTCTTGGGTGGCCTCATTTAATGCTTGCGGCTGACGTGACCGTCTCCTTACTTTTGTCTACAGTAAGTTGTTTGACGAATCTATTTCAATCGTACTAAAAAAGGGAAACACAAATAGTAATCCGTAAAACTTAATTTATGTACGTATTTCTGAAGTTTCTGCAGCAATTGCATGGCCTCATGGTGCTTCTTTTGGTATATTATTCAAATTAACCATCATCACATCTGGTTGGCAGGTGCAGTGTCCGAACGACGATAAATTCTCTTGCCGATTTTTTTCAAGCTGTCGTTAGAGGAAGTGGTGGAAGGGGTCGGGTATGTTCTGAAATGGTTTATATCCGGAGGCTATTGGTTTGTTAGTACATTCCTATTTTAAGATTCTTCCACTGCTGTTCAAGTGTTTGTGGGAGGGAGATTGGTTGAGAGTCAGGGTGTTATATTGTATAAAGCAGAAATGCTTAATTTATCGTATTTCACGACTTTCAATTTTCATAATTGTTTCGCATTCATCCAGAAAAAAATCCTCTTTGTTCCAATACAATTCCTTTTCATTTTTCTCTTCGCTTCTGTAAACTATAGGTAGTCAACTGGATGTCCCGATCCAATTATACAAACCTCAGCTTCAAGGATAGATTCCGATCCCTGCCTGGTTTGGCCAGACGCGCGATTGACTGTGGCTCCATTCACTACCGGATCGATGAGTAGTTATGTTGCAATGGCAACATTTACTGATTGAAGCTTTTGTTTGTCATTGTGAATAAATTTGGGATAACCGGAAGGCTAAAGCCTCTTGGACACTGAGATATTTTGTGCTGCCGCGGGCTTATTCAGTAATTACTTCGTGAACTTATTGAATGGAAGAGCGGGGAAATCAAATCTATTGAGAATTGTAAAGTAGACGCATTGATTTTTTCAGCTCAATTTGAATCTACCCAAGTGTGATTAAAGCAAATTTGGATAATGTGATGCAATCATGATGTGAAACCATATGACTGTTGCGACTCAGGGGGATAAGGTCGAACGGTCGCGTTTGAGAATTATTGAGGACGTCTCCAAGGCGGTTGGGAAGCGAGAGAATACAGGACCTTTAATTGGCTTACCGTAAACATGGGGGGGGGCAAAAAAAAGAGTCACTTTTCCTATGGCGCACATCATTAAGTTTTTCTTCGCACAGAATGCCGCAGCTAATGAATGTTTACCGGCAGAATATTCCTTAGGTGTCCCCCATAAGCAGAAGCAGCCCCTACTTCAGTGCCCTCACGGTCTTCAGAATATGACGTCATCTGCCGTCGCCGTCAAGCTCAGGGTTACCTTATGCTCCTGCCTGGAACTTGCACTATTTCTTCGTGCGCTGAGGGTGATAGCTTCCAGGGCTTAGCTGGACTGTTGAAAACCGGTTTTTGAACCGAGGTTCTGGGCGAGTCGTAGCTTGTCCACGGATGTCGTTTGTGAGCTGTACGTGAACCGTTTCCGTGGAAATTTCTTGATGTTTTTGTAGAAGCTGTCATGTGTTTCTTTTGATAGACTTGAATGTGCTCTTTAATACGCAATTGGCCTCATTTGATTTGGTTCCGCAGTTCGAGATTAATTGCGTATTGAATGTGGAGAGAAGTGACTTTTTGGTACCCCCCTGTAAAGTTATATTCTTCACACACTCTTTTGCTTGCTATCTTTATCGAAACGCGCCCTCAATGCGCTCCCAAATTTCAACGATACTATAGAGCGGTCACTGCGTAATGTTGTCAGGTTCGGCAGAGTAAAGTTGCTAAGAGAACTTATGTGGTAAGTGTAGATGAGTAAGGTAAACGTATTAAATTTCAGGTAACAATTAGCTTAATGTGATCAGTTCAACATTGGGCATTATCATGTAGTGGAAACATCACCATATACTATGACACTTCAAAAGATATAACTTCTATGCCTTTTCTAGAATATTGTTAATGTTTATTATAACGTGATAAATTGCACACGCAACAGTAATTGAAGAACATGTAGTAAGTTTCAGTTTTAATCCTTCTATTTTATAAAGCCAATCCAATTCTTTTACTCCCTCTTAACGGGTGTGAGGATATCTGCTGCGGTTTTGTTTTCGTATAAGGCAGCGTGCGAACGGAAACAATTACTTCTTTGAAAAAAACCTCTATTAATGTTACAATTGATTTCAAATTCGCCGTTACATTCGTTCCGAAAAGGTTTAGCAGATTTGGAAACAGTCCCAGCTTAGCGTCTCTGAATGAATGCAACTATTTACAAACTCTGCAGATGGTCAAACAGAACTGTTGACCTATCTTTTTCAGTCTTCCGTGGTATCGCGTCGGCGAGCTACCGAAGTCGAACGGTAATTTCGTTGAGACTCACCCAATAAACGAACGTTGGTGAATATATCAGCACACAGCTTAGTATGACAGTGCGCTTCTTTGGTGGTTCATGTTCTATTATGTAATAACGATAACAGAAGAGTAAAAGGAAGAAAGTCCAGGTAGAGAAGGCAATGCGAAAGAACCGAACCTGAGCAAAGGCTTATCTGTTCTTTTTAGGGAGTAAGTCGACTCACCAACGAAACAGTCATCGGTCAAGGATGTGAACAACAGCCCATAGAAATGAGAATTCCACGCCAGCAGCCAGTTCTGAATGCTTGTAAGTTTTTAAGGTTTATCTGTGAAATAGCAAAAAATTACACATCGACCAATGCCTTTTTAGGGGTTCGTTCAAAGGAAGTACAATGCTAGTAGCTCAATTGTGGAGTTCTTAATATTGCGAAGCTTGGTCCCACATTCAAACATGTTCTGTTGCAACTCTGCTGTAGATTTTTTTCCTTTTCCACGAGATTCAAATTCTTCAAATGTTCATGGTTGAACAGACTTAGAGCTTCATGTGAAAAAACAACGGCCCTGGTTAAAGGTTTTTCATATGGGGGGGGCAATAAAGACTTCTTTTCAATTCAATGGATTTATTATCATTTACTAATGAGCAATTTCCAATTTGCTATGGAAACTTTTTGGTAAAAAGGTCGTTTCATATTGGGACTAGGTGGACGCATGGAATATTTGCCCGGAAAGTGCATTGGTCGAGCAAGGGGTTTTCGAAGGATTTTGCGCCATAACGACCTTCAGCTTCGAGGGGGCTTTCATATTGGGAGCTAATATCTTTAGGTAGGGAACTATTAAATTGAATTGATTCACGAAATTACTGCATGCCTTAGGCTGAATGTTCAGGTAGGCTCGTTTTGAGTTGACGCTATAGACGGATACTCATATTCTGAGATGAGAGGGGCGTGTAGGAGGCCTGGGCTTTCTCTTTATAGAGGACATTTTGAATATTTTGCTCAGAATTCCGTCTACCCCGACCAGCGTACCTGCGAAGAAAAGGGCCGAAGTGCGATTTGCAAAGTGTTTCTCGGCCGTGCATGTATTGGAGCCCATGTTATTTTACCAATACCTTTGATGCACAAACATCGAAGCCATAGAGGCGGCAAGATCGCAGATGGCATTGTTGAAAATGAGCACGGAATAAGTGCTCAAATGCTTTGGAGTCTTCTTTAGTACCATATATATCAGAAGAGAATTTCCAGCAATTCCTACGGAACTTGTAACAAGGCCAAAGAAGTAGCTGGTCGGATTAACCCAATTCCTGAAAAGAAGAGTGTCAGCAAAACCATTTCAAACAACAGTGGGTTTATATCTGCTTGCAGAAATGAAATGGGGAAATGAGTAAGGTGATAAAAAAATGGTGTGATATGCAGCGCCAACAAAGACGGCACCGAACTTCAAACCTAACTCCATTTCTGCAGAGCCGTCAATGCAAAGTATCGCATAAGGAACTAGTTTGACGTACTGTTGACAGGATGAAGAAGGGTTGCACCATTCAAGGAAACTGCTGTGCTACATGGTTATTAGGCTCGGACAAAACACAACACTTAAACACGTGGGATATTTGTTCAAAGATCTCGAGAAAGTGATGGCTGACAAAATCCACCATTTGAACATGGATTTATATACAGTTGTACGTAAATTCTTCTCTGGTTCCGCTCTGCGTCAAAACAACTTTAAAAAATTATCCAAAGAAAATCATGAATCTATCTCACCCATAAACTACTGGCTTGACACGAGGGTCAAGCGAATTGTCGAGGAAAATTTGGAAATACGACCCCCCCCCTTCCCCAGAGGCCGAAGTCCATGAAACGACCCTCTTCAAAAGCCGAACTATGGAAAAGGTTGTTTAACACCTTGGAGCCCATGCAGCCCATATGTGGGCTGCAGTCCTCGACCGCGTAGGACCTTTCAGCTCACATTTCGGAAAAAGCCAGTTTTTCTTTTGCTTTCTTTTCCGTTGCATTCGATAAGGATTCTTCTGCATCACATAGTAGAATTTTTCTCCTCTTTGCTTGATAACATTCCTAAAAATCTCGCTAGAATCCAACATCGCCGATAAACGTGAAATATGCGC